ATATTTGACCCCTGTGACCTTGAATATGGGTGAAGGTCATTTATTTGAACAAACTTTGTAGCCCTTTATATCAGCATGTTACAGGCCAAATATCATTACCCTGGGCATTTTTGTTATTGAGAAGAAGTTTATTTAAAGTTTTTAACATATTTGACCCCTGTGACCTTGAATATGGGTGAAGGTCATTTATTTGAACAAACTTGGTAGCCCTTCATCACAGCTAGCTACTGGCCAAATATCATCACCCTGGGCATTTTGGTTATTCAGAAGAAATTGTTTAAAGTTTCTAACATATTTGACCCCTTTGACCATGAATATGGGTGAAGGTCATTTATTTGAACAAACTTGGTAGCCCTTCATCACAGCTAGCTACTGGCCAAATATCATCACCCTGGGCATTTTGGTTATTCGGAAGAAGTTGTTTTAAGTTTTTAACATATTTGACCCCTGTGACCTTGAATATGGGTGAAGGTCATTCATTTGAACAAAATTTGTAGCTCTTCATCTCAGCATGCTACTGGCCCAATATCATCACCCTAGGCATTTTGGTTATTCAGAAGAAGTTATTTAAAGGTTTTTTAAGACAATTGACCCCTGTGACCTTGAATATGGGTGAAGGTCATTCATTTGAACAAACTTGGTAGCCCTTCACCCTAGCATGCTACTGACCAAATATCATCTCCCTGGGCAGTTTGATTATTGAGAAGTTGTTTAAAGTTTTAAACATATTTGACCCCTGTGACCTTGAAAATAGATGAAGGTCATTTATTTGAACAAACTTGGTAGCCCTTCATCCCAGTTTGCTTCTGGCCAAATATCATCACCCTAGGCCTTTCTGTTATTAAGAAGAAGTCGTTTAAAGTAAAATATTGACGCCGAACGACGGACGCCGCACCACGGCATAAGCTCACTTGGCACTTCGTGCCAGGTGAGCTAAAAATGGTATAAGGATGTTTGAGCAGAGAAATAATATGTTAAGTTAGGACATTTAATCTGAAATTCCCTATCATTATGATGAAGACTTTAATACATAAAGTGGAACAATATCATAAATAAATACAATGGGCCTTAACGGTCACCTGAGTCCTACAGTATTTATTTTTGTTGTTGAAATATGTACCAATTCAACTTAAGAATTGTTAAGTATAACGTTAACTTAAGTTTGTCAGGACCATGAGCTGATCATTCCTAGACCGATTTTCAGTTAGATCGGCCTATTAGAACTTGTTTTTAAGTTTGAAATAGGTATTTTCAAATAGCGGCCATGGCAGCAAAATTGTATTTCTGATCTACCGGAAAAATAACAAAATTTTGTCAGGACCACGAGTCGATCATTCCTACAAAGTTTCAGTTCAATCGGCCAAGTAGAACTTGACTTTAAATGGCGGCCGTGGTGGCCATGTTGGATTTCTGATTGACACGAAAAATAACAAAATTTTGTCAGGACCATGAGTCGATCATTCCTACCAACTTTCAGTTCAATCGGCCCAGCAGAACTTGACTTAAAGTTTGAAATAGTTTTTCAAAATGGCGGCCATATTGAATTTCTGATGGACCCAAAAAATAACAACACTTTGTCAGGACCATGAGTCGATTATTCCTACCAACTTTCAGTTCAATCGGCCCAGCAGAACTTGACTTTAAGTTTGAAATAGTTTTTCAAAATAGCGGCCGTGGCGGCCATATTGGATTTCTGATGGACCAAAAAAATAAGAACACTTTGTCAGGACCATGATCTGAGTCGATCATTCCTACAAAGTTTCAGTTCAATCGGCCCAGCAGAATTTGACTTTAAGTTTGAAATAGTTTTTCAAAATGGCGGCCGTGGTGGCCATATTGGATTTCTGATTGACCCGAAAAATAGCAACACTTCGTCAGGGAGATTTCAGTAACCTTCCCATGAAATATTAATGAAATCCCTTTGCCAGAATTTCAGCTTAAGTTGAAAATGTAAAATGTTAACGGACGACGGACGATGGACGACGACGGACGAAGACGGATAGCAATAGGTCACTTGAGCTAAAGCTCAGGTGACCTAATAATTCAAAAATGTGAAATCAATCCTATGTTTACGTTCATATTCATATGGTCAGACTATATATATAGTACAGACTATAGTTTTACCTGTAATCAAATCCTATTGTTCTCAATATTGTGACACAAAATCTCACCTAGCATACAGCCAACACCTTACCTGTAATTAGTGTAGGAACATTCGACGATGGATGATGGATGCTCAGTTTTCCAAATTAGTGTATGAACTGGCTGTTGTAAAATTTGGGTAGTAAAAACAATGACTTCAAATGAATGGCCATAGTTTCATGACCATCACTCGGCATGTAAGCAAACTTTCTCCCATTGATACTTTCATTAATATGGGAAAAATCAAGATTATATAGCAAGTAACTTAGGAAACAATTTCTAACATTTCTCAATGACATATAATAATAGTAATAGAATGCTTATCCATTATTTATAACACAGTTACTAAACATACCATTGCTTGCAATAGTTTCTTCTTCAGACTGAACACCACTTGCTGGGGTCAAATGAACTATTATCAAGTTCGTGACACTTGACCCCAGGTTAAGGCCATTAACATCTGCTGGGATTGTGACATCATGAACATTCCCCTTGAAAGCCTTCTTTAGCATGTCCAGTGCCCTTTCTGGTGAACTAACTGCAGGTAGTTGGACAGAGAAGTTTTCATCCATTAGGGCCTGTTACAATATAAAGGTATAACACGGTTAATCACAAAACTCTTCACGAGGGTTTGTAACAACAAAAGGCCCAATGCGCTTGTATCGCTCACCTCATACAAATTTCATACTTGTAACCTTAACCGTTTCCAATACAGCTAAATGAAATATTTGTCATTGATATTGGAGTAAAACACGTTTTAAAATATTGCGATATTTTTTAAAGATCAAAGAAAATATTTCAAAATGGCGTACAACGTTAACAGTAAATGTTACAGAAAGACATCAAATTCATACGAATGACATCACATCCTACATCGACCTGTAGAATAATTTTTAAAACAAAAGTAAAAATAAATGTTTTTTAGAAAATGGTGACCTTTGACCAAACAGCGAGCTTTTTATTTGAAATATTTTGTATTACTATATGATGAGAAAAAGTTGGATATGGAAATTATCTGGACAAATTCTGTACAATTAACGGTTTCCAAGTTGTAGTGGTTTTAAAGATTTTAACCTATGATGTCATGGTGGCCATTTTGGATTTTTGACCAACTTGAAAATGTTGCTTGATCATCTTCAGACCTTGGCCTACAACATACCTAAAAGACTATAAACCTTTACTATACCAATCAAAAGATACAGACTCCACTATGTAAGGAAGAATAATAATAAGAACAAGAAAAAGTTATGTCATTTTAAGAGATATTTTGTAGATTTCACATGTTTAATGATATGCATCATGATGCAGTGACCTTGGAACTGCACAATAAACGTTTTTGGAAGAATTTTGATCAAATTTTGATTATTTGACCCCTTGTTGCCTTGAATGAAGGTCAAGGTCAAAAGGCTGAAGTCTGTATGAAGCCAAACATACATACTATAGATGTGCCAAATATCAACTCTGTATGTGTCTTGATGACAGAGAAGAAGACTAAAATGCATTTTTATGAAAATTTTGAATTTTGGCGGGAAAATGAGCATTTTCAGAATGGCATACATTGAAACTTTCCACACACCATCCTTAGATCATGCTTTTTAATATATGATGCAAAAAAAACTATTTTTGAGATTTTCATTTTTTACCTTTTTTTGACCCCATAGCAAGGTTTTGAACCAGACATATTCTCTGATAACATGTCGAAGATCTACATGAAGTATGCAAGCGTACATGCAGTACATGCAGTTATGGACGTTCTAAAAACGTTTTTAAAAACTCTATTTATAGATCTGTGACCTTGACCTTTGATATTACGATCATGAATTTGTTTGTGTACGATGTACACGTTGTCCTCTTTCACATACTGAAATATGAACGTTCTATCTGTTTTCGTTCATGAGCTTAATCAGCACTTGATTATTTCCAGTTGTTTTACAGTGATGAACTGTTTGAAGAAATTGTGAATTTTACAAATCTGAATGCGGAAACGAAACGGAGACATGGGGGTGACAAAGGTATTTGGACACCGGTAACACTACCCGAAATGAAAGCATATTACGGCATTTTGATATTGATGGAAATAATGCAATTTGAACGTGATGAACTGTACTGGACAGAAAATACTAACATTTGGCTGGTTGGTTCAAAACTTGGAGAAGTAATGTCCCGTGACCGATTTATCCAAATCAAGAAATACCTTCAATTCAGCGATGATACAGGTGCAAATGCTAATGATAAACTCCATAAGATACGATTCATGCTGGATCATTGTAGACAGGCATTTCAGAGGGAGTATTTGCCTCATAGGGAAATATCTGTAGATGAAGCAATGGTTCCATTCAAAGGCCGCCTGGGCATGAAACAATATATGAAGGACAAGCCAGTAAAGTTCGGAATAAAGTTATGGGTGACGACTGATGCAGTTTCAGCTTACTGTTTGAACTATGAGGTGTATGTTGGGAAAAATGCAGACATTGTGAACAAAGTGTTTGGACTGTCCTCCAGAGTTGTGATCGAGGTGACAAAGTTTCTAGAAATGAAGGGGCATGTGATATTCACAGATAACTTTTATACCAGTCCGCTTTTGGCAGACTATTTGTTGTCCAGGAACACTTACCTCTGTGTTACAATTCGATGCAACCGGAAAGGATACCCGAAAAAACTTGTAGTCAAGAAATCTGATGAGAAAAAGATTGAAAGGGGAAATTCTGATTGGCTGATGAATGGTAATCTGTTGGCTACATGGTGGAAAGATAACAGAGTGGTCTACTACTTGTCCACATTCCATGACCCAGAGGATGATCAGCTGGTGACAAGAAGGAAGAACAAGGATGGCACAGAAGCTCAGCTCAAGTCCACACCTGTCCAGGCAGCTTATGCCCAGTACATGGGTGGAGTAGACCGACTCGACCAAATGACTCGTATCAACAAATCCAAGAAATGCATGAGGTGGTATCGCACGATTGAAGTGAAACTGAGGGAATGTGCTGCTTATAATGCATACATTATTGAAGGTAACTTCATCAATCAGATTCCCGCAAATCACAGGAAAAGAGATTTTATGACCTTCAAACTGGAGCTGGCCCACAGTCTTATTGGAGAATTCAGAAATGTGTCCAGAAAGTGTTTCAAGAGCCCTAGATCTGATGCAAACAACGATGCAAGACTAGATGGTAATGATCACTTGCCCATCGCCGCAGGAGGAAAAGACCGCCTTTGTGTTGTGTGCAACAGGAAGCATAGAAACTACATGGCCAGTCACCCGGGTTCTACAGTAAAGGACAATCCCTACAAACGCTCAAAAACAACCATGGCTTGTGAGAAATGTGATGTTGCCTTGTGCTGTAATGCACACAGCACATGTTACCGTGATTTTCACACAAAAGTGTATTTTTGGCAGCAGACTACATACACAGGGACGCTAACGAGCTTTCGAAGCACACCTGGGCTTACCTGACTATTTTGTTTACCTGTAGGATATGGACTAAAACACTTGTTATGAATTAATTGAACAATTGAAAAAGAAAGCTGATATTTTCAATCAGTTTATTCATGAATCTTTGGAACTGTACCTTGATTCTACATGATGGATGTTAACGAGATTTACCTGTGAATACATTACAAAATACAAGGTAATAAGATGAGTTGAGCTTAGAAAATTGTCTTTGTTTTATTTTAAACATTAATTGCAGAGGAAACAACTAAGAAATATATATATTGAACTCATACCAGTAAAAAGGTATACAAATAACCTGTAACTAACCTTTATAACACCTGTTAGACACTTTAAACATCTGAGTTGACATCATAGATATAATCCCGTGACTATTATGTAAATTTTGGTATATGACATGCGAGAATCAGATATTAAATGGTGAAGTTATGATGCTGAAATGTTTAATTAATTAATCTGACTTATTAACTGAAAGTTACTTAGTGTTGAGTGGTAGTTACTATGTAAAGTTACTTAGTGGTGAAAGAGTTAATCTGATATTTGATACACAAACAGTTATGCCAGTGATCTTGGACGGTTAAGACCAGGGTAGGGGTGAAGGCTCTCCTCAGCAAATACATCTCACAAAAATGTTTATCGGAAAGTCCCCCATCCTTCATAACTGTCCTCATTTAGATATATTTCTTCAAATAGGTGGCAATATTTAACTTTAACATATTTGGATTTTTAATATTGGTTGTAACCTAAAACAAGACGCGAGGCCTATGGGCCATAACGGTCACCTGAGTTCCAATACATTTATACAGAGAGTTGATTTTTGTGAACAGAAATATTATTCAAAGTGACAAAAAAACAATAAAACCACCTTATTCAATATCTAGCATACAGATTTAAGACTGAAAAGTATTTGAAACTAGCACCTATGATTGTTAATAAGGAAAATGAAGAAATTTTAGCACACTGACTAATTCTTTGGGCCATGCCCTATAGCCCTTGGGGGAAGGACTGGCTCAAAATTTTCTAAGTATCAAACTGTCAACTCAGGGTTATAATTCAAATCAAGTTATCAACATGTAATATCAAAAGTATCATTTATCATTTGCCAATATAAACCATAATAAATTTTGCCCCCCCTCCCCCTCCCGCCTTCCCCTGGGGTAAACATGAGAGCCTAGGGTCAAAATATTCACAATTTTGGTAGAACACCTTAAAACCCTTCCATCTTTGAAGAGTATTTGATTGTACCATATCTGGGTCTTGATAAGAAGATTTCGAAATTTCAGTCAATTTGATCAATTTGATCAGTTGTGGCCCCACCCATCAGCCCTTGGGGGTCAGTCAGGGCTGATATGTGCATACCATCAAACTGCTATCCAAAAGTGATAATCCTAACCCAAATTGAATTACTTCCAATGGAAATTGAACAAGAGGCCAAGAGGGCCTGTATCGCTCACCTGGATATCAAAAGTAATCATGTTAAAATATTCTCCAAATAAGATCCAAGGAAATGGGCCAGCCCCCAAGGCCAATCCTTGTATCATACCTGTATTAGATTGTTCATACCCAGCAATTTTATGTATGATTATGGGGTGGGTGTGATTCAGAAACTAGGTCACTGGGGTTGTGGCCAGACCCCACGATCAATTATAATATTATGGCGTCATTCGTTTCATTATGCCCACCAATTGTATATATAGTTTTGGGGTGGGGATCTTAACCGTTTCAAAGTTGTGACCCAGGGGTTAAGTCTCCAAGGGTGGGGCAGACCCTGGGGTCAATTCTTATATCATGACTGCATTCGTCTTTTTATGCCTAGCATTTGTATATTCCATTTTGGGTGGGGATCTCAACCGTTTCAAAGTTATGACCCAGGGACTATGTCTCCAAGGGTGGGGCCAGACCCCTGAGCAATCCTGGAAGCATATGTGCATTCTTCTCTTCATACTCAGCAATTGTATATATGGTAATATGGTGGGGATCTCAACCACTTCCAAGCAATACACTATTTTTTGCCCCGCCCTTTAGCCAAGGGGGTTCAGCCCCACTACTTGTACAACTTGAATCCCTGTCTCCCATGAATGCTTCCAACCAAATATGATTGATATCCAGTTCATAGTTCTCCAGAAGAAGTCATTTATAGCAATATAGCCAAATTGCCCCCCCCCCCCTTTGGCCATGCCCCTCAGACCCCTAGGGGGGTCAGTCCCACCATTTGTAAATTTTTGCAGCCCCACTACCTAGGGATGCATCCAGTCAAATATGGTTGATATCAATCTCATAGTTCCAGAGAAGAAAAGTCGCTTAAAGCAATATAGCCAAATATCCTTTTTTGGCCCCGCCCCTCAGTCCCATGCGGGGTTAGCCCCACCATTTGTACACTTTTGAATCCCAACCTCCCATGAATGCTTCTGACCAAATATGATTGATATCCAGTGCATAGTTCTACAGAAGAAGTCACTTTAGCAATATAGCCAAATTGTCCCCTTTTGGCCCCGCCCCTCCGCCCCCTGGGGTGTCAGCCCCACCATTTGTAAAATTTTGAATTCCCAGTGCCTAGGAATGCTTCCAGTACAATATGGTTTATATCCATCATTAAGTTCCAGAGGAGAAGTTGCTTAAAGCAATATATCCAAATTGACCCCTTTTAGCCCTACCCCTCAGCCCCTTGGAGGGTCAGCCCCACCATTTGTACAAATTTGAATCCCCACTACCTAGGGATGCTTCCAGTCAAAGTTTCTCTAAGTTTTGAATGAAGGCAATATGCACAGCTATGATTTTTTTGGTCTAAAACTAACTACTGAAGAAACACTACCAGTAATATGTTGTCCTTGAAGCTCAATATAATGTTTTACCTTGTCAGAAAGTCAGAAGTCAATATATTACTAAAAGAAAATTTTGCACTCAAGACTCATCATTTTTCTTAAAAAAAAATTCCTCACCTTGACATTTTTAAATGCTCCACCATCACTGAAGGAATTGTAAACATCTGCATACTTTGTAAAGTCTTGGAGACTTAACTGTAAATGAAAGGAAATACATTTTATAATACTCGGTAAAAGGAGGAACCTCATGTTATCATTACCCAGTAAAGGGAGAAACCTTGTTTAATCATACCCAGTAAAGAGAGAAAACTCACTTTATTATAACCAGTTATGGCAGAAAACTAATGTTTCATATCCAGTAAAGGGAGAAAACCGGTGTTGTTTACCCTGATTTTTAAACTTTATATAGTTTACAATAATTGAGAAACAATTTCCAATAACTTATATTAATCATTCTTGTTGGCCTGGATGGTGGCGTGCAGGTTTTTTTAATATGGGATGGAACCCAAGTACCTGAAAACAAGACCCCTGTGACCTTGAATATGGGCGAAGGTCATTTATTCAACAAACTTGGTAGCTCTTCATGCCAGCACACTGCTGGCCAAATATCATCACCCTGGTCCTTTTAGTTATTCAGAAGAAGTCGTTTTTTTATGACGCCCTGTGACCTTGAATATTCGAACCCAAGTCATCTTGGTGAAAAGAAAGTACACTATTCACTGCACCACCCAACCACCTATTAAACAAAACACTGATTGGTTTATAGTTTACATTATGTTGATTGTTTTACACTTTACAATATGCCAATTGGTTTCAAACTTAACAGTATGCAGATTTGTGTTATACTTTAACTTTTATACAGTGCACTTAGTGCTTAATAATTTACAGTCGCTGATTTGTTTAATATTTCACGGTATGATGATTTGTTTCATACTTTTCAGTACGCTAATTTTTTTATAATTTACTGTATGTTGATTGTTTTATACTTTTCAGTACGCTAATTGATTTATAATTTAGAGTATGTTAATTGTATTATAATTTACAGTATGTTAATTGTTTTATACTTTACAGTATGTTATTTTTTTTATACTTTACAGTATGCCGATTTGTTTAATAATTTACACTGCACTATTTTTTTTTATACTTTACAGTATGCCGATTTGTTTCATACTTTACAGTACACTTATTGTTTTATAATTTACTGTATGCTGATTGTTTTATAATTTACAGTATGCTAATTATTTTATACTTTACAGTATGCCAATTGTTTTATAATTTACTGTATGCTAATTATTTTATACTTTACAGTATGCTAATTGTCTTATAATTTACTGTATGCTAAATATTGTATACTTTACAGTACGCCAATTGTCTTATAATTTACTGTATGCTAAATAGTATAATCGTGGTTAAACTACTGTCATTTTGAATTACCAATCCAATGTCGTATTACATCTCAAATAAATAAGAATTAACAGTACACCGATTGTTTTATATTAACAGTATACAGATTGTTTTATATTACCAGGATACAGATTGTTTTATATTACCAGGATACTGATTGTTTTATATTAACAGTATACTGATTGTTTTATATTAACAGGATACTGATTGTTTTATATTAACAGTATACTGATTGTTTTATATTAACAGTAAACAGATTGTTTTATATTAACAGTATACAGATTGTTTTATATTAACAGTATACAGATTGTTTTATATTACCAGGATACTGATTGTTTTATATTAACAGTATACTGATTGTTTTAAATTAACAGGATACCGATTGTTTTATATTAACAGTATACAGATTGTTTTATATTACCAGTATACAGATTGTTTTATATTAACAGTAAACTGATTGTTTTATATTAACAGGATACTGATTGTTTTATATTAACAGTATACAGATTGTTTTATACTTTATACTATACTCATTGTTTAATACTTAACACTCATTGTTTCATACTTAACACTGATTGTTTCATACTTAACACTGATTGTTTCATACTTAACACTGAATGTTTTATATTTAACATTGATTGTTTTATACTTAACACTGATTGTTTCATACTTAACACTCATTGTTTCATACTTAACACTGATTGTTTCATACTTAACACTGAATGTTTTATATTTAACATTGATTGTTTTATACTTAACACTCATTGTTTCATACTTAACACTCATTGTTTCATACTTAACATTGATTGTTTTATACTTAACACTGATTTTTTTATACTTAACACTGATTGTTTTATACTTAACACCGATTGTTCTATATTTAACATTGATTGTTTTATACATAACACCAATTGTTTTATATTTAACACTGATTTTTTTATAGTTAACACAGATTGTTTTATACTTAACACTGATTTTTAGCTCACCTGGTCCAAAGAATCATGGTGAGCTTATGCCATACCGCAGCGTCCGTCGTCTGTCAACTTTTTCTTTAAAACGCTACTAGTCCTGAACGGCCAAGTAGATTTTGACTAAATTTGATCTGGAGCATCCTTAGTCCAAGGGGACTCAATTTTGTATAAATGTTGGTTGTGGCCCCCCTGGGGGCAGATGGGCGGGCCCAATAGGGGAAATAGAGGTAAAACCTTCAAAATCCTTCTACTACCCTAGGGATCAAGGGATTTTATCCTTGATTAGTCTGGAGCATCCTTGGCCCAAGGGGAATCAATTTTGCATAAACCGTGGGTCTGGCCCCCCAGGGGCGGGGCCCGATAGGGGAAACATAGGGGAAAGGATTTGGTCCATATTTGTTGCGGAGTATCCTTGGGTGAAGGGGAACCAATTCTGTATAAACCGTGGGTCTGGCCCCCATTGGGCCTGAGTGGCGGGGCCCAATAGGGGAAATAGAGCTAAAAACTTTATAATCCTTCTTCTACCATAGGGATTAAGGGATTTTATCCTAATTTAGTCTGGAGCATCCTTGGGCCAAGGGGACTCAATTTTGTATAAGCAGTGGGTAGGGTCTCCAAGGGGGCAGAAGGACGGGGCCCAATAGGGGAAATAGAGGTAAACTTTTAAAATCCTTCTTCTACCATAGGGATTAAGGGATTTTTTCCCAATTTTGTTTGGAGGATCTTGGGCAAAATGGACTCAATAATGTATAAACAGTGAGTGTGGCTCCCTTGGGGGCAGAAGGGTGGGGCCCAATAGGGGAAACATAGCAAATTCTTTACTTCATACCAATTATTTTAAACATATTCAGGTGAGTGATACAGGCCCTCTGGGCCTCTTGTTTTATACATAACACTTATTGTTTTATACATAACACTTATTGTTTTATATTTGACATTGATTGTTTTATATTTAACACTGATTGTATTATACATAACACTGATTGTTTTATACTTTACAGTATGCTAATTGTATTATACTTTTGCTGTGCATGATCACGAAAAGATGATATCAAATCTACATTTTCTAAAATGCATTAGCTGAACTTCATCATCGTGGACCAAAAAATGTATCAACCTCATTAATATAAGTAAAAGTTTTAATTATCACAGAATGTATATAATCTTACCTTTTCCTGTAGGAAAACAACCAGGTTTCCATCTTTCTGTGACGTCAGAGGTGTTAGATAGTTCTGAGAAAATTCAGAGACTTTCACTGTGTTTCCAAGATTAACCTGTGGTACATGGCTCAAAGGGCTGGAATGGATAGGATATCAGAAAATCATAAGTATGCATAGAAACAAGAGGCCCACTGCTCATCACCTGCTCTAGTTTTTTGTAAATATTACATGAAATACACAAATGGACTTCAAGAACATAATATTTTATTTAATAAACTTAAGTGAGTGTTTAGCAATGATAACATAATAGATGTTTTACAGTATTTACATTGTATGATAGAATTGTAATCTTCCAAATGCTTTTTAAATCTTACGAATATATGTTCAATTAATTTTGAAATGCAAATGCTTTAGCTTCTCCTTGCAACATTAATATCAATATGCATTAAAAAATCCATTTGATTTTCCTTGGGCGATATATATATTGACCTTTGATATAACTTAAAATGGTTGTACAAATGACAAGAGGCCAATGGACCTAATAATCAGCTGTGTTACAATTGTGGTATGCTACATGTAATACATGTTATTTGTTGCTGTGATTTAACAAAGAAAAATATTGGTTTGCAATAATACAGTGAAACTTCTTTAAAATGGTCATGCATGGGATGCTCCAATGCCTTTTTGTACAGTATATGAACTTTGTTGCTTGCAATAAATTTTGCACATGTATTTAAGGATTATCTTTTAACTTTTCTTTGTTTATGAGGTAATAAATTTATTTTCTCATAAAAAAAGAAAAGTTTAAAGATAATACGTTTATTTACAATTTTTTACCATCAGAAATAATCTATAAAGAGAGCTGTTAGTTACGTCATTTAAATTGTAATTGAATGCGAAATGTTACAAAACAAAATACAGTAAACCTCCAGTCAGTTTGAATAGGCAGATAGTTCAAACACACTTTTTGAACAATAAAAATAATAATTTTCTGTCTAGTGATAGTTCGAACCCTAGCCTGCTTACACACGTTTAGGACTATTCAAACACACAATTTGAGTACTGAAATTATGTAATTATTTACCGCAAATTTGCGCGTATAGTGCACACTTTTTGGGGTAAATATTGTCATGTCAAAAAGGGGGTGCACACTATATGCAGGAACAAGTCATTCTTGGGTTAACGTTCTCGAGTTTCTGGTCCACCATATTGGATTACCTCCCTTCAAATAGTTTTATTTTGAGTCGTCGGTCATATATCGTCTAGACATCAGTTTACGCGCGTTATGTATTTCCGCGCAGCCACTTTATCAAACTATATCTCGTAACTACGTGACCTGCTGGACACAACACAAGGATATTTTAGACGTTTGGTTATCGTCTGTAAACTGTCACAAAAATTACCGGAAGTTCGGCCTGAAAACATAAGAAATAATCACCGATTAAAAAACATGCATGAATATGCAGTTTTGCTTAATGCACTTTTTATCTTGCTCAAAATGAACCCATACCTGAAAATACAGTGATATATTTCATTCATGAACCAGTCTCTCTTGTAGTCTGACAAACGTACGAAAATGTCGTATGCAAATGAGGTCACATCTCCTCGACGATTCTTTTCCACTTCCGAAGAGCGAAGAAGCCATTCTTATATCGATAAACAGTGTTTTCAATGAAACGGTAACCTTGTAATATAATGAACTTCCAATTTTCACCAATTTCAAACAGAACAAAATGAGAAATAACTTACCATCAACCAAAACCGATATACGACTGCAGAAAAAAAATATCAACAGATTCTATATTATAACTAAATAAATATAAGAAATACATTTATAAAATTACATGAATTAGTTCAATTTGACATCTTGAAAAATCAATTAAAAATGTGAGATTTAAAACAAAATGTTCTGATAATTAATTTGACGATCAAAGATTTTTTTTTTATTCCCAACGAAGCTTTTGTTCGTGCAGATCATTGTAGAGAATTTATTTTTAGTGTATTCGAGTTATCTTTCTTTGAACACTAAATCAAAATAGACACGGAAACATATGACGGCTTCTTCCGACGGGAAAAATTTATTAATAATTGTTTGTTCTGATTTTTTCAAATTACACTTTTATGTTGCTAGTTTTTTGTTTCCATTAGTAGATTGTATACATGTTTATGATAGTCATCCGTAAATTCAACCGTTTTCTGCCGATATGAGTACAAAAATCGCGGTTGCTTCTTAAGTGCGTGGAAACCGGTAACCCGAGGATATGATAAGATTGTAGATAAAAATAACAACAAAGAATGAAATTTTTTGGCAACACAATTTGTACCTTCTCTTAAATGATTAAAATCGGTAATCTGTGGTCATGACTGCTGATTTGGCAACAAACACTAGCTGGTCACGTAACATTTTTACAGGTAAGTTGATCGGAGGGCATACCGTGGCGCCTGATCCCGGAGGTAGGATTGCCATGCTTCAGCGAAAATTATTGACACTAATCAACGCCACAGTTAATACAAATTACATTCCCGTAATTAGCTCACACTCCATCAGTGATTACCGATTAACAATAGCTCTACTGCAAATTAATTGAAATTACTTGCAGTCGCGATCGATGGAACGTGTTGTTTTCACTCCTTAACATGCGCCGTGGTGTGAAGCCCCACTGCAATGTTAGAACTACAGACTGATTTGACTGAAAGGGATTATAAAAAATATGTTTATACTAGAAGCATGGACATTCAACACATCCCCTTCAAATCTAAACGAAGGAAATAAATAAAAGCAGAATACACTATTTTTATGATGCTTCATAATATTGAAATAATTCACGAGGTTATCGATCACGTCAACATGAAAGTGAGCCGGGAAAAAAATGCACACTACTGACTAGGCCTAACATTTCGTAAAAAAAAAAACCCAGAACTAACGGAGCCTATAATTGAAACACTACATTTTCGTAATTATGAGAAAACCGCTGAGATGTCGAAACATAAGTTGAGTGGCGATTCTCTGGCATCAGAAAGGCTACACTTTCTTCGTTTGGTTTCTGCAGGATTCGTCCACCAAGCGGTACGGAGGGAGACCTCCAATCAATCAATCGTTAATTAATCGGCGTTATAAACACCAAGCTACTAGTGGAGTCCCTAAGGGCAGAAATTTTGCTCCCGTGGGCATTTTTTGAAGAAAGCAAGAGACCATAATAAGTTGATAGTATAGATAGAGTACTTATATAATTAAAGAAAATGATTGTTGTCAGTCGCGCATGCGCGTCACGTTGGTTTTATGACGTCATCAAAATGGCCGCGGAGATATTCTGCTTTTATTTAAATTCACCATTTTTTCTGCGTAAGTTACAAACGCTTAGGTGTTGTGACAAAAATTATTTAATAAACACATATTTGCACATTAAAAAAAAAAGTTTGCGCTTTCTTAAAACATTTATATGCAACTTTATGGTTATTTTAATCTATTAAGGACTGGAATTTCTGTAAGAAATATAAGATTAAACGTAAAACAAACGACTATAAACATGACAATTATGTAAGTTGTTGACACGAAGGGATCTATTGTTTCTTTCCATCAATATGTCGCACAGTAACGAGCCTCAGGCAAATTTAACTGGTCATAAACGAAATAACAACATTTTTTGGATTTTAATTCCGGAACTGTGTGTCCCGTGTTTCGGTCGAGAAATTTTATTAGAATAACTTCCGGTCAAAGTTATTCTCTAGGAAAATATGAAAATCCAGAAGAGGAATGCTTTTCTAAGTATTGTTCTTCAGTTTGCTCATCTCAGCAGACACTATGGTAATATATTTATAAGAAGTATTTTGTAAATTTCAATTTCTGGTTTTACATAAGACTGGATACGGTCCAACAAAAGTAGTGTTTTTGCTCATTGTTCGGTTTTTTGCTGTCATCAGATATCATGTTAATGTTAATCATTTGCATGTATTTTACATGTTAAACATGTTAAATAAGCTTTATTAGTAATAGTTTGTTTCATATACAGAATACTAAGAGGTGTAATATCAGTAATAATGTCTCGTAAGGCGGCGTTAGCGAATATTGTGGGAGGTTGTAAGATTCAAACCAATGTCGGTCAGGGATAACAAAATTCCAGATTTTTTTTAAAACTTCTTTTACCTCTATATTTAATATCTAAATAATAAACATTATTTAAAAGGTGTAACAACGTTATTATGTTATTATATAATTGTTATTTTTTATTTTAGTCTAAAAGAAGGCTATTTAAAGACAATCTGCTAATATCAAAACAACAACGTTTGGTGGACTATACGTCAACATAGTTGTAGCTTGCATAATATGTCAAAGTAAAACTGAATAACCGTTGATTGAAGCACCTAAAAGCCATGAGAAAGTGCTGGATGTTATCAGAGAAAGAGCGGGCTATTCTGATTGTATATACGTACCGGTACCCTGAAGTATTTTCCAGACTATCATCAGAAACGTCGTATTCTGTTTGATAATAATGCAATGTGGCATCGTTCGTGTTATCAGAACACAGTTAATAAAACCCTCATCAACAGAGCGAAAGAACGATTTAGAAAAGACATCACTAAAAGACGAGGTGTAGCGTGTGATGAGGACATCAATCTCAACAAAAGTTTCACAAGATCCTCAACAAAACCATATGAGAAAGATGTATTCATGTATAAAAGGTTAAATAAGCAAACGCTAGCTTGCACATGTGTGATTGAATGAATTGATGTCCAATGTCTAATCAATGCACGCAATATGCAGGTTATTTCATTTTTAAGACCGTGAAACAGTATTTCATTAATGTCCGCAAAGCAATATAAAGTTTAGAGACATAATCAGATTTAATTCATTGTTCACTGTTAAGGTTATTGTCATACATATGAATATTAAAAAATACTAGCATTTTATAGTATCAGTGATCAGTCAAACAGCACTCTGAAACAGACCAGTCTGTAAATGCCTTAATGTGTTAATCAGATGTTAAACACCATGTCATCTCAACAGCATGATTCTATATTTATAATCAGGTTGCTACAATGGAAGCTGGAAAAAGCCTGAAGACAGCCATAGAGAAAGGTACAGATGCTGCATTGAAGGTAAGACTAAGCACTTCAATAGATCCGTCCGATGCCCAT